CACATGTGCACATATTCAGTTAACTGCTGATGATGGGAGTCTCGAGGGAAAATGAAGGAACCACAACTTGTATTCCCCTGAATTTCACTAACGGTACAGATAACAATAATTGTCATAGGAATTATAATGGTAAATATGTATAAACATACTAATGAATGCTTTAATAGCATCAATTGAAGCATTTTGTAATTTTGTCTGTTTACATATAGGGCAAAAACGTAAGTCTCATTGATCTTATATTTTTAAACAAACAAAAATTTCCCAATCTGATTTAAATACAGATCCCGTGTCAAAGCCATGCTTTATAATCAGATTGAAAATCTCTAAGGTTGTAGTCTAGTAATTCAATGAGAAGCTTTACGTAATTTCTCATATGAATATGTTATTCACTTATCAAAACACGAGGGGGCCTCGGTGGCCGAGTGGTCTAAGTAGTTACTACTGTAATCACTAGCCAGTCAACACTGAGGTTATGAGTTCGAACCCCGCTTGTGCGGGTGCACTCGACTCCAATCTTAATTGACTAGGATTGATGTCAGTTTTCCTATCGAAGGTCGGTGGTTTTCTCCGGGCACTCCGGCTTCCTCCACCAATAAAAACTGGTCGCCACGAAATAGCCCAAAAGCGGTGCTTAAAAGTGGCGTTAAAACACCAAAAATCAAATCAAATATCAAAACACGATTTCTGTGTTCAAGCTTCAGTATTTTTCATAATAAATCGCAGTCTGGATATAAAAGATATATACTCAATTGACATATATGGATTAAAGGGTGAGCCATTTAGTTAGTATCTTCTTCGCCTATCTGAGAAGTTCGATACCCACCGGCCTTTCCATTTATTTTGAATAGCAAGAATACATTCCCTATCATATATTTTTTTAACAAAAAATATTGTCGTATGGCTTTGTTGGTATCAATATCATGATTACGCTATTTCCGGCATGGACTGAGATAAATAATTTTAATATCTAATGCATTCTGGCATTTGCATTTACGACTGTGGTTTTAATGGTATATATGAAAAAAAATCGACATGGGCATCTGATTTGTTTCAGATACTTAGATTGAATACTGGATTTCAATTTCTTGGCCTTATCATATACATTGTATTTATATCATAAAGCTTGAATAGTGACCTATTCCAGCGGCTCATCCCTGGGAACAGTATATCTAACATATATGTTCCTGCTCATCCCTATCACTCATAATTTGCATAGTAAGTGGCCCTTAATAATTTATTGCTCGTTCCAGTAATCTGAAGCGAAGCAAGGAATTGTATTTTTTTATACACAATTCCTTGTCTGAATCTGGGACTAATAGATATTCCCAGTCTGAAGTTATAAAACGTAAGAAGATACACATGTGTGATAACTCGGAGCAGAGACAATATATACAAAATATATACTGTAAGTATTAGATGTAAGCCTCTCATATGAAAGGATTACATCTGATTTACATAGAAGTAATAAATAAACATTTTATCTTTTCTCTTGAATTCTAAAAATAGCAATTAATTTTGATAAAACAGGAAAAGTGTCATTATCTAAATTTTTCCAGATGCAGTAACACTTTCTGAAGAAGTTTTGTAGTTGGAATGAAATCTTAATAGTGCGTCTATTTTTCTGTCATCAAATTGATACCATATATAATTATCACTGCTTTGGTATGGCAATATGAATTTCTGTACTTTCTTGTCTTTTTCTGGTTTAATTGCCAAAATCTGAATTTTTTTGGTGATAAATGATAACTCTTTTAAGTAAGTATTAGATACACCTTGAGGGCGTTAGCCCAACTATGTGTATCATATTTACACCAAGATATTATTGTCAATGCAGAATGATAGTTTACAATACTTAAGGAGAGGTCTTTCAGCGATTTGACCATATGTATTTGAAAAGCATGATAAATGCAGGGTATTCAATTTCAGTTAACGACATCTTGGTGTAAATGATCATATAGGTCTCTGTTCGGAGGTATACGAAGAAAGTGAAGACAACATGTCAAAAATAAAATAAAAAAGGACATACTTTTTAAATGTCAAATAATATACAACCAAATAATATAATGTACATAATCTAATATGTCTCTGGTACAACTCAACAAAAATGATTGAAATTGAGCAACATGCATGACGTTTAATTTTAGCAGAGACCGTCATAGTCTCTGATGTTAGTCATGTTAGATATATAAATCCATTAAAAAAATAATAAAAAAATATAACTTCAAGCATAAATATAACATGATATAATATCATACACACTGAGGCACCAGACTATTAAAAAGACTATTTAGTGTATAACCAATGTGTGTATACTGGCCTGAGACCGTACCAGAGACATATGTCTCTGACCGTACTAAGATCTACTAAGACTGAGACTACATAGCCAGGCCCACAGCTAGGTCCGTTCGCGCCCAATACACGTTCGCACCCCACACGTTCACCTCCTGGGTCCGTTCACACCCTACACGTTTGCACCCTGAACAGTTGGGGCAAAAATGGACGCAATATTCGCGCTTGATACAGGTCTGAATTTGGATTGTAATTAAATATTTGACAAATAAAAGGTTTCTGACACAAAATAACTGTAGTCAAAGAACTTAGAATTGGTTATATGATTTGAATTTACATGTGTATATTCAATTTTTTGCTTTTATGCAATACACTTTGCTGTTGCGAATTGACCCCCCCAACAAAAAAAACAAAAAAAAATTTACCCACCCTTTTTTTTTTTGCTTTTGTGCAATACACTATGCTGTTGCGTAACCCCCCCCCACACACACACACACACACAAACTTCTTATTTGCAAAAAAAAATAATATTTGAAGAATTTTTCTTTTTAATTTCTGAAATCTGAAATGAGAAAAAATTGACCCCCCACAATTTCTTTTTACCCCCCCCAAAAATTCTTTCCCTCAAGATATGGTCATAATCTCAATTCAAATTTCCGATGGAGTTTGCAACCATAATTACCCATTCAAATTTACCATAGTGCTAACTTAATCTATTTTATAATAGAATTTAAAATATGGTGTCAAATCTTTCATATGGATGTTTTTGTAAAAAAAAAAGATGCAACATTTGCAGATATTTTTACTGGTCTTCCTTTATAAATATGCATTTCTTTAAACATAATTTAAAAGCAGTGTAAGGGAGGTAATCAAAACATTGTATTTGGATTACCTCCCTTACACTGCTTTTAAATTGTCTTAATTGTTCATTAACCATTACTTTATACATAATTTAAAATTTAACCTGGTTAATGGACAAATACTTTAGTACAAAACATAATTTAAAGCAGTGTAAGGGAGGTAATTCAAATACATCATTTGAATTACCTCCCTTACACTGCTTTAAATTATGTTTTGTACTAAAGTATTTGTCCATTAACCAGGTCACCCTTGTTTTCCCCCTTTTTTGCCCCTAATTCCTAAACGGTTTGAGCCATAACCCATCAAAGCAAATCCTAACCATCCCTTTGTGGTATGGAAACTTGTGGTATAATTTCAGAGAGATCCATACACTGTTCCACAAGTTATTGTCTGGAAACGAAAAAATGCTTAATTTTTGGCCCCTTTTTGGCCCCTAATTCCTTAATTGTTGGTACCAAAACCCCCAAAATCAATCCCAACCTTCCTTATGTGGTATTGAACCTTATGGTAAAATTTCATAGAGATCCATTCACTTAAACTAAAGTTATTGTGGGAAAACCAATGTGTCTTCGGACGACGACGACGCCAACATCATACCAATATATGACCGCAAAAAATGTTTGCGGTCATATAAAAACCTGATGAACTATTAGAGTTTTTTGAGATGTTTATATATCAAAATATTTTTATTTTCATAAATAAAAATTCGATAAATTTTTAAATGAAATATTGTTTAAAATTGATTTGATGATTAATTATTATATGTTAATTATGTATGGTTACTGTTAATATGTAGTTTACACAGCTAAACTTGGTGTTATTGTTATGTGTTAGAAAATCGTTGTTGTTTTAACTAGCTTTGATGTAAATTCTGCATGTAGTTAGCATGTATTTAGCTTGGTATGAGTAAAAACAGTGAAGATTCAAAATGTTATTGTTGTTGATATTAATAGCGGTTTGGTATCTTAACATTAAAAAAAATATTCAACACTAAAACCCTTTTTAGAAAGTCACTTTATTTTGAAACAATGAATTTTTTTTTTATAGCAATATATAACCAAAACACGATTTAAAAAATATTCAACACAAAAAACATCACTTTATTTTGAAACAATGAAGGACCCCACTGGAAATAAGTTGTAATAACTTTTGTGGGTCATCCTAAGATATTAGGCTACAGTGAAAATCTAGTCAATTTAAATTTCACTCATTATTTAATCTAGTCTATTCATATTATCAAAATATCATGAAAATTTTCATGATTTTATTTTTTAAATTAAAATTTTTAGTAAACATGTATTTCATTTTAGTGTCTATAAACTATGTCTAGTGCTATATCTGTGTCTTTGTAATGTTTTGTATCTGTCAAATTCATGCCTTTTATCTTGAATAAATATATATTTAATATATAATGAAAAAAACCCTTATTTATAGCAATATGTACGTACAATAACCAAAACACGATAAAAAATCATTCAACACAAAAATCGTTTTTAGAAAGTCACTTCATTTTGAAACAATGAACAAAAAAATATTTATAGCAATAAACACTAACCAAAAAATGATTGAAAAATTATTTAACACAAAACCAATAAAAAGGGTGCGAACGTGTAGGGTGCGAACGTGTAGGGGGCGAACGGACCCGGTCCTATAACACATGCTCATAAAACTGTTTCTCCTATATATTTTTTTTTATTTTTTGACTAATGAACGACAAGTACACGAACATTCAAATGATAAAATGATAATACCGTAGTGTTGTACGACCATGATGGTCGACATAAAATTTACGACTAACCTCCAAGCACGTGTTGTGCAATGCTCTTCTTTGTGTAGAAACAGAAAACGTACTGATTTAACTGGTTGCCTGTTTAAGTCACACTATTTTTAGCACGAACTGACCTCAAGAAACCAGATTGCAACTTTGACTATGGCATCGAGAAGGCTAATTTTTCTATCCACAAAACTTTCCAGAAATATTCATAGGTATATATTAGATTTACTCGGTAACTAATTTCGAAGTAAAAAAAATAGTTTTGCAAAACAAAAAGCATTGTAATAACGCTTGAAGCAGCCTTCAAAACCGAGAAATAGCTCTCCGCGAGTTCAAGACGTTTTTGTTGAAAAAATGACAATTTTCAGACTATATAAAAGAGGAAATCTAACATACCTCGTCAAAGTTTCCCTTTTTTTTCTTTCACTGATCTAAAATGGTAAATAGAAAAATTCAGTCTCTTTTATAAGTTCCAAGTTCTTTATTTCTAATGAAGGGCCCCTGACGCCGTGACGGGACATAATGACAACAATACACAATACATTCTCATTCATAACACATAAATATATAAATGAAGATAAAATTAAAATTCACATAAAGTGGATGAGATTATCATGTCTATCATAGAATATATATAATCATATAAAAATTATATCACAACATAAAACAAGTTATATTTTTTTTATAAGTTAGTTTAGTTCTTTCAAAGTTTCATATCTTTGATTTTACTGCCATGCCAGAGTGCCAATACAAATAATATAATAATTTCATCATATAGTTTGCTAACAGAGGTCCACCTTGTCTCTTACCTAGAAAAGCAAGTTGAAGGAATAGATAATACAAGTCACTAGAATGGAAAAGAGACCAAGGGCAAATGCACTTGGACATGTTAGCAAGTGTGATTTTAGATACTGTCTTAACCTCCTCATGACTAGTGCACAAAAGTAAATTTTTCTATCACTTTAATGCAAAAATCACCAAGGGATGATACTAAAAGGTTTAGGCATCTGTTTGTCTAAGTATAATGATTACTTTTCTAAAAAGACATACTTTTTATAAAAGCATTCATGGAAGTAGTCACTACATTCAGCAGTGGCAGCAATCCACAAAATTTATCTTGAATATTTTTAGATATAATGCTAAAAACTTTTAACTGACCAAAATAAAATATTTATTAAGATCATAATATTAATGTATAGCTGTAAACAGTATATATAAATATACATATGCATATATATACATTTTCAACACTCTAGCATAGCAGTAGCAGGTGCAAGTGAAGTCCCAATGCTCCCTAATTAGGATTTTCATGTTTGGCTATAAGGCAACAAATTTTACATAAAATTTCATTATCTTCATTACTCGGCATCCAAATAAATTTTTCAGGATTTTGTAATTGGGTAAAATTAAGACATTGTAAACTAATAGCATTGATGAGATTACAACGCTCAACTTTATACTTTGTACAAGTCAGTAAAAAATGGTTCTCATCTTCTACCTCGCCAGATTAGCAATGAATACACAGATATCTATTTTGCCTGATAATCTTTGATATCTTCCTAATTCTATTTGAAGTCTATGAGCTGATATTCTGAATCTGGTGAAAATTCTCCTGTGCCCAAAATCTTTTATAATATTTAGATAATTTCAAATCCAAAGTTTTGTTTAAACTTGAAGTATGTATATAGTTTGCCATCTGATAATGATGTGTTTTGCTTTTGCCAAAGATTAATATATAATGAGTTTTCATTAATTTTTTACATATCTTCTTAAAACTATTTGTTTTCATTGACTTTAAGTCAATTTGGTTGTCAAAAATTACTTTTTTCTGTATATTCACAAAGCCATACTAAGAAGGTTGTTTGTTTTCCTATATATAACTCTATGGAAGTTAGATAGGCATCTTTTAAAATAGGAAATTGATAATCTAAATTTTCTAAGCGGTGCCAATATTTAAGCATTGCACTGACAACATTAAAATGTGTGGGTAATCTGCCAAGCTCTGACAAGTAGGCAAAGTTAGAATTCTTTTTCCACAACCCAAAACAAATTTACATAATTTCACATGCAAATCTTCACATTTAAGTCTTTTATAAATTTCCTCAAAGGACAAATCAGGGATTTTGTCAAGCCTGCGACTTCTGTCGCAAAAACCTCGATATAGGGATAGTGATCCGGCGGCGGCGGCGTTAGCTAACTTCTTAAAACTTTTATATCTTCCAAGGTGGAAAACCTGGATGCTTCATACTTTGTATATAGATGCCTTATGTTATGAAGTTTCCGTCTGTCATATGTCCATTGTCCTTGACCTCATTTTCATGGTTCAGTGACTACTTGAAAAAAAAGTTAAGTTTTTTGTAATGTTAGTTTCTCTCTTATTATGAGTAATAGGATAACTATAATTAATATGTGCGTACCATGCCGTCAGACAGTTTTCATCTGACCTCGACCTCATATCATGGATCAGTGACTAGTAAAAAAATCAAATTAAATTGGCAAGTGTACTTGAAATATATATGCTTACACACAGATTTGAATAAGTATATTTTTATACGACCGCTGCGGTCGTATATTGGTATGACGTTGTCGTCGTTCGAAGACACATTGGTTTTCGCACTCTAACTTTAGTTTAAGTGAATGGATCTCTATAAAATTTTACCATAATGTTCAATACCACAAAAGGAAGGTTGGGATTGATTTTGGGGGTTATGGTACCAACAGTTAAGGAATTGGGGGCCAAAAATAAGCATTTTTGTAACTTCCAGACATAACTTGTGTGTTAGTGTATGGATCTCTCTGACATTGTACCACATGGTTCCATATCACAAAGGGAATGCTGGGATTGATTTTGGGGGTAATTGCCTCAAAAGTTTAGGAATTAGGGGCAAAAAACAAGCATTTTTCTAGTTTCAGGACAATAACTTGTGTGTTCGTGTATGGATCTTTATGAAATTGTACTACAAGGTTCCATATCACAAAGGGAAAGCTTGGTTTGACTTTGGGGGTAATTGCCCTAAATGTTTAGGAATTTGGGGCCAAAAAGGGGCCAAAAAACAAGCATTTTTCTAGTTTCCAGACAATAACTTGTGTTCAAGTGTATTGATCTCTCTGAAATTGTACTGCAAGGTACCATACCACAAAGGGAAGGCTGGGATTGAGTTTGGGGGTGATGAATCATAAGGGGGTTCAAAAAATTGGGGTGGGGATTTTTTTTTCCTTTTTTTTTCTTTAAAATTTTCCATTTTAAATTGGTTATTTCTGATTTATATATAAAAGCAAATAATAATGATATGGTTTGAATAGGTAAATTAAAATTTTTTAAGTTCTTAGAGCACATTCATTCTGTCAGAAACTTATGCTGTGTCAAATATTTAATCACAATCCAAATTCAGTGCTGTATCAAGCTTGAATGTTGTGGAGCATTTTATTTCAACATGCCATAAAAAATGTAAAACAATGTAAAATTTTTAGAGAGAGTCTAAAGTTATATGTTTAACATCAATGATGATTTGATCAACTAGCTGAAACATAGGCAATACAATAAAGTCTCTTTATTTCACCATAATGAAAATTAAAACAGATGAATAATTGTCTGCAACATTTCAACACTTAGTAAGGAAATTACTATAAACAAATTAAAAGGAACTCAAACCTTCCATGCATTCACTTTTTCATCCATTGTTTAATATATTCTTGTAGAATAAGCAGACGTGACAGAGTGGTAACTTGTTCCTTATGTTCAGCTAGTCATGCCTATAGTACAAATCCCTTACCAGAACCAGCTATAGATGGACATGACAAGGTTTTCCCCCCTAAACTGCATACCATAGTAGATGATATTGGAAAACTCACCCTTACAGAAGTAGCTGATTTGAATGAATTGCTTAAGGTATAAAAGTGTCTTGGTTAGTTTTCTTAAATTTTAATAGGGAAATTTATAATGTACATGTCTCCACAATACATGTAAATTCATCAATTGTTTTTTTTTTTTATATGGCAGGCAGTTGTTATTTGTTGTATTCTTGTTCTTGCTTTTATCATATTTTTTTATTTTTGTAGTTTTCAGAAATGCTGTTTTGTTTAACAAACTTAACGTTAGCTCCATACTTACATATTTTCTTGCACACTGTTACATTTTTTACTCAGGAAATAAAAACTACTATATGTATATTCTTTTTGTAATTTTTCAGAAAACTTTAAGGATACAAGATGCACCTGTTATGGCCATGGGTATGCCAGGAATGGCTGCACCTAAGGTAAGCACAAAGAATTGGGTATGTTAATTTATTTTTTTTGGGACCTTTTGTTAAAATTGGCATTAGAGGACCTGAAAACTGTCATAAGATTGATGTGTTAAATTGATTCTGCATAACTTTCATCTTTTTACTTTTAATACATTTAAAATATTGTAGAATAATTATTCAATTTCAACTTCTATAAAGGTATAGTAATAAATAACTAGAGGCTCTAAAGAGCCTTTGTCGCTCACCTTGGTCTATGTGCATATTCAACAAAGGACATTCTCCAACATTGTAGACAAGAATAGAATTCATGACAAAAATCTGTTTTGTTGATCTTGTATTTCTGATCATTTAGTCTGTTTAGTTTCTCTCTATATTTTTTAATTTTTGCTCAAAACACAAAAGAGGGTAAAAAAAATCCTCATTTAAGTCTACTAACCATATCGGCAAAATTTGACTTGTGAGTAGATCTTGCCTTGCTGATAATTTTTGTGATTTAAAGTGTCTATTTATCTATTATAATTTTTATCATATAAGGCAAAACACAAAAACATGGTAAAAATCGTCATTAAAGGGCAATAACTACAATAGGTGTCGTTAGATGATTTCCTCCATATAAAATTTATTGTAGACCTTTACTTTCTGGTAAATTTTGCTTATCTATCTATCATAATTGTTAAGATATAAGGCAAAAACGCAAAAAATTGGTAAAAATCGTCATCAAAGGGGCGATAACTCTACTAAGAAGTTGACTGACGATTTCGACCATGAGACTTTTTTGTGGAACTTTTCTTGCTGATCACTTTTGCAATTTAAAGTCTCTCTCTATCTATAATAGTTTTCAAGGTAATAGGCAGAAATAAAAAAATAAAGGTAAAATTTGTCATTTATTGGAAATAACTATTAGAAGTCGTCTGACAGTTTTGTCATATATGGACAATTGGTAGAGAACATTCTGAACATTTTTGCTGCTGTCTGATTTTCTCTATTTATAACGGTTTTCAAAATAATAGACAAAACTTGCATTTTGCCCCTATGTTCTATTTTTAGCCATGTCTTGGTTGGCAGACGAGGCCATCGGACACATTTTTATACGACCGCAAAAAAATTTTGCGGTCGTATATTGGTATGACGTTGGCGTCGTCCGAAGACACATTGGTTTTCGCACTCTAACTTTAGTTTAAGTGAATGGATCTCTATGAAATTTTACCATAAGGTTCAATACCACAAAAGGAAGGTTGGGATTGATTTTGGGGGTTATGGTACCAACAGTTAAGGAATTAGGGGCCAAAAATAAGCATTTTTGTAACTTCCAGACATAACTTGTGTGTTAGTGTATGGATCTCTCTGACATTGTACCACAAGGTTCCATATCACAAAGGGAATGCTGGGATTGATTTTGGGGGTAATTGCCTCAAAATTTTAGGAATTAGGGGCCAAAAAAGGGGCAAAAACAAGCCTTTATCTAGTTTCATGATAATAACTTGTGTGTAAGTGTAAGGATCTTTCTGAAATTGTACTACAAGGTTCCATATCACAAAGGGAAAGCTGGAATTGAGTTTGGGGGTAATTGCCCAAAACGTTTAGGAATAAGGGACTAAAAAGGGGCCAAAAATAAGCATTTTTCTAGTTGGCCATCCCAATGATTGACATTAAAAAAAAAAACGATATTAAACTTAAATTTGTTTGATTCAAATTCGAAGTTCTGATGTAAACTGTTAAATTGGCAGTGCATCATTCGAAGTGTGCAACATCAGCGTACTTATATCTGCCTTAGACTCTTTATTTGTTCAAAATAACTTTGTCAAAAGCTTAACTTTCGTTTTTAAATCTAATACCGGATGTTATCTTGACAAAGGTAAAACATGGACCAGAGACGGATACGTAAATCCCGTGTACGTTTGCAAAGCATGAATGAGTGTTAGTAGCTCTTTCTACGTTATTTCTTCAAGAAAATATTCGAAATAAATGTGAGATAAAGGTATCAATGACAATTTAAGCATTTTTTGAAGAAATTAGGATGCATAATTAAATTTCACACCTGCGCACACGTGTACTAGTTCAAACAACGTGGTTATGACGATTTTTCATTTTCACCTTTTTAATTTTTTCATCAAATCATATTTGTAAATGTATTTCTGATAATTTAAATCTTTTTGACTTAATTAATTAGATGCAAACCGCTGAAATGTAAGAAAATAACTTTGAATAGACCGATCAATGTCCAGTTCAAAATAGTTTACCTGTCACCTGAACAGGTAAATTTCAGCTGTTCGACAACTAGTTAGCCTTGATTAAAATGAGAAGGTATTAAAGTAGGGGTTGTTTTGATAGTACTTAATGATCATGTCACTTTTATGACCTGAAATGTGTGGCTGTTAAAGGCAAAACATTGGGTCAAAAAGATCGTGAATTATGTTAAAATGACCGTCTCTTAAAGCCTTGAAAACTAAAAAGTAGATGACCGTTTCATGCTTTGCTCAGCCGGACTTTTACCGGACATTATACAAATGTCCGGAATATATGACCATTTTGGAAGCCTTGGTCCATACTTGCCCCAACTGTTCAGGGTTCAACCTCTGGGGTCGTATCAAGCTGCGCCCAGCGGAGCATTTTATTTAAACTAGAGACCCCAATGATGATTGTGGCCAAGTTTGATTTAATTTGGCCCAGTAGTTTCAGAGGAGAAGATTTTTGTAAAAGTAAACGACGACGGACGCCAAGTGATGATAAAAGCTCACTTGGCCTTTTAGGCCAGGTGAGCTAAAAATGAACTGAATTATACATGTGTTTTTATACGACCACAAAAAAAGTGGTCATATATTGGTATGATGTTGGCGTTGGCGTCGTCGTCGTCGTCCGGCATCGTCATCCGAAGACACATTAGTTTTCGCTATCTAACTTTAGTTTAAGTGAATGGATCTCAATGAAATTTTACTATAAGGTTCAATACCAAAAAAGGAAGGTTGGGATTGATTTTGGGGGTTATGGTACCAACAGTTAAGGAATTAGGGGCCAAAAATAAGCATTTTTGTAACTTCCAGACATAACTTGTGTGTAAGTGTATGGATCTCTCTGACATTGTACCACAAGGTTCCATATCACAAAGTGAATGCTGGGATTGATTTTGGGGGTAATTGCCTCCAAATTTTAGGAATTAGGGGCAAAAAACAAGCATTTTCTAGTTTCATGACAATAACTTGTGTGTTAGTGTATGGATCTCTTTGACATTGTATCACAAGGTTCCATATCACAAAAGGGAATGCTGGGATTGATTTTGGGGGTAATTGCCTCCAAATTTTAGGAATTAGGGGCCAAAAAGGCGCAAAAAACAAGCATTTTTTTAGTTTCATGACAATAACTTGTGTGTAAGAGTATGGATCTTTATGAAATTGTACTACAAGGTTCCATATCACAAAAGGAAAGCTGGAAATGAGTTTGGGGGTAATTGACCAAAAAGCTTAGGAAGAAGGGGCCAAAAATAAGCATTTTTCTAGTTTCCAGACAATATACATTTATTTCCCGTGACGGAGGGAGATATGAAGATTTGTTCAACCAAGAATATTCATATTTCACGAGGGCTCTCCCGAGGCAAAGGGAAATGAATGTTTTATTCCACTGCCTATATGCTTTGTTTACTATCAATAAATTAAATATTATTTTGCATACATTTTTTTTTTCTTATCCGCTTGTTTTTGTAAGTCAAACTAAACACGACATACCTACTGATAAACAGTAAGGATCAAAATTTAATTATAAGTCTGTTTGTTTTATCGTCTGAAATAAATTTGAACATGATGATTTTTGCTATCGCTATTTTAAGAAGAATAAGAAGTTCAAAACGTTATGTACATTAACCGCGCGTAACGTCGCACGAAGTAATCCCGACATTTCAGAGGGGAATATGATCCTCAGAATGGAATATGAAGATTTGTTCATTGACACGTGGGATAGTCTCAACCAATCAAATATTGATTAAACTATCAATATGTTTAAACAGTGGAATAATAACTTGTGTTCAAGTGTATGGATCTCTCTGAAATTGTACTGCAAGGTACCATACCACAAAGGGAAGGCTGGGATTGATTTTGGGGGTAATTCCTTCAAAATTTTAGGAATTAGGGGCCATAAAAGGGCAAAAAAACAAGCATTTTTCTAGGATCAAGACAATAACTTGTTTGTAATTGTATGGATCTTTATGAAATTGTACTGCAAGGTTCCATATCACAAAGGGAAAGCTGGGTTTGAGTTTGGGGGTAATTGCTCTAAATGTTAAGGAATTTGGGGCCAAAAGGGCCAAAAAACAAGCATTTTTTCTAGTTTCCAGACAATAACTTGTGTTCAAGTGTATGGATCTCTCTGAAATTGTACTGCAAGGTACCATACCACAAAGGGAAGGCTGGGATTGAGTTTGGGGGTGATGAATCATAAGGGGGTTCAAAAAATTTAGGGGGGGAATTTTTTTTTCCTTTTTTTTCTTTAGAATTTTCCATTTTAAATTGGTTATTTCTGATTTATATATAAAAGCAAATAATCATGATATGGTTTGAATAGGTAAATTAAAATTTTTTAAGTTCTTAGACCATTTTCATTCTGTGTCAGAAACCTATGCTGTGTCAAATATTTAATTACAATCCAAATTTAGTGCTGTATCAAGCTTGAATGTTGTGTCCATACTTGCCCCACTGTTCAGGGTTCGACCTCTGCGGTCGTATCAAGCTGCGCCCCAGCGGAGCATTTTATTTTAAATGTTAAAAAAAATTAATGTTGAATAATTTTTTATGACAGCATGTTTGGGTAATGTAGTGTTCCCTAGATTTTCTTGCAATAATTTGTTTGGTTTTGACCATGTTCATGCAACACAGACATAAAAATTCACTCATATGATTCTGACCTATTGATATTACAAAAGTAGTTCCTCCAAAGTTGAACCGATTTTCACCCCCCAAAAAAACTACAGTTTAATATCTCCTTAAATTTGTTTTCAGGAAATGAAATTGAAAACTAACTTCCAATCTTCCACAAATTCCAAAATATAAAAAATGTAAATAATTTTATTTCTACAGGAAGATGAGGAGGAAGAGGCTCCCAAAATTGTGAAAACTCTCTTCTCGCTCAAACTTTTAGAATTTGCAGCGGACAAGAAGATAACCCTGATCAAAGAAATAAAGAGCCTTGTGCCGGATATGAATTTAGTTCAGGTAAAACTATTAATTCATATACTAGCATATATCTCACCTTTCAAGATATATATTTTTAATGTCTATAGTAAAACTTCATTGTGGTATAGTAGTTTGTCAAGTTATGGTTGAGTTTTGACATCTTATCTCCAAAGTTTGTTGTGCATGCAAAAACTGTGAAAAGGGAGTAAGGGCCCTATTTGTCCCAAATATTAAGTCCATTGTTTCAAGATGAAAGAAGTAGATGCATATACTTGTGAGAAAAAGTAAAGCTTTGACATTCACAACCCTAATAGGTGTAAAAAAAAAAAAACAGATTTTGGTGAAAGTTGACAAAATCCTCTGTATTTTAACAGCATTTAAGCCTATGAACCACATGTTCTTGTTTGCTCTGAATTAAGACTTATTTATAACAAACATAATGTGAAAAGTAGTTTTTGTTGGTCAACCAATACACTAAATCTTTCTATGTCCTAAAACCAATTAAAATTGACATGTTTTGGTCAACCAATACACTAAATCTTTCTATGTCCTAAAACCAATTAAAATTGACATGTTTTGGTCAAGCAATACACTAAATCTTTCTATGTCCTAAAACCAATTGAAATTGACATGTTTTGGTCAACCAATACACTAAATCTTTCTATGTCCTAAAACCAATTAAAATTGACATGTTTTCATTGAGCTTGGCGGAAAAGTTAATTTTACACTAAATTATGATAACATAAACTCAATGCTGGTTCACAAATTTTCAAACATAAAAACCCTTTTCATATTTAGTCATAATTTAACATTGATGAATTGTGATAGTGGTCATTAAATCCAACTCTCCATCAGAGACCAACTAGCAAATGTGTCAGATTATGAATGACCATATCCAGATGGACAATATAATTTAGTGGTCATAGACAAAAGAACACATAACAAATTAACCAAGGATGTGATGTTACATACGGAACACTAAAGTATAATGTTACGTTACACGCAATTAAAGTCATTACAAGTATGGCCTTAAACAATGAAATGCCATAACGCATAGTAGTCTTTAAAAGGCCATGAAATGACAATTGTAAAACAATTCAAAGGATAAAACTAACAGCCTAATTTGTGTACAAAACAATAAACAAATAACAAATATGATTTACAGCAGCAAATGACAACTGCTGAATTACAGGCTCCTGACTTGGGACAGGCACATACAGAATGTGTCAAGTTAAAGATTATGTTTTTCATAGTAGAGATATGCCTTCGTTTGTACGAAGTTTTTAGTAATATGTGGATGTGCTTGGGAGGAATTAGGTGTTGACTTGTTTTTTATTTGTATTTCCTGAGTTATGTCCCTTGTTGAATTATATTATTATTTTCAGGCTAAGAAGTTTGTAGAATCTGCCCCACAAGTCATAAAGGCAGACATATCTAAAGAAGAAGCTGAAACTTTAAAGAAAGCTATAGAGGCAGCTGGTGGAAAATGTGATATTGATTAAAAGACAATATATATTCTGTTTATGAAACTTAAAAATAAATATTTACTTCTGTGTTACATTTTTTTTTAAAGGAGCATGTGAAACTACACAATGCAATACAAAGCTCTAGGTATAGACATAATGTAAGTTTGTGGTTCTGATGTACAATATAAAGCTCTAGGTATAGACATAATGTAAGTGTGTGGTTCTGATGTACAATATAAAGCTCTAGGTATAGACATAATGTAAGTGTGTGGTTCTGATGTACAATACAAAACTCTAGGTATAGACATAATGTAAGTGTGTGGTTCTGATGTACAATATAAAGCTCTAGGTATAGACATAATGTAAGTGTGTGGTTCTGATGTACAATATAAAACTCTAGGTATAGACATAATGTAAGTGTGTGGTTCTGATGTACAATATAAAACTCTAGGTATAGACATAATGTAAGTGTGTGGTTCTGATGTACAATATAAAGCTCTAGGTATAGACATAATGTAAGTGTGTGGTTCTGATGTACAATATAAAGCTCTAGGTATAGACATAATGTAAGTGTGTGGTTCTGATGTACAATATAAAGCTCTAGGTATAGACATAATGTAAGTTTGTGGTTCTGATGTACAATATAAAGCTCTAGGTATAGACATAATGTAAGTGTGTGGTTCTGATGTACAATATAAAGCTCTAGGTATAGACATAATGTAAGTGTGTGGTTCTGATGTACAATATAAAGCTCTAGGTATAGACATAATGTAAGTTTGTGGTTCTGATGTACAATATAAAGCTCTAGGTATAGACATAATGCAAGTGTGTGGTTCTGATGTACAATATAAAGCTCTAGGTATAGACATAATGTAAGTTTGTGGTTCTGATGTACAATATAAAGCTCTAGGTATAGACATAATGTAAGTGTGTGGTTCTGATGTACAATACAAAGCTCTAGGTATAGACATAATGTAAGATTGTGGTTCTGATGTACAATACAAAGCTCTAGGTATAGACATAATGTAAGTTTGTGGTTCTGATGTACAATATAAAGCTCTAGGTATAGACATAATGCAAGTGTGTGGTTCTGATGTACAATATAAAGCTCTAGGTATAGACATAATGTAAGTGTGTGGTTCTGATGTACAATATAAAGCTCTAGGTATAAACATAATGCAAGTGTGTGGTTCTGATGTACAATCTGCCACTAAGAGGTGACAAGATTTACATCTGGCTTTAGCTTTCATATTCTTGCGAGTTACAATAAAATTAACTGGTGGAAAATGAACCAAAACTTTGTCATTTAACAGAAAGAATAATGGAGATATGCAATGAGAACGCAAACGATCAAAAAATGTCTAAGTTAATTTCTTAGATACAGATTGACCTACAATCCTATATAAGGATGCATCTAGTGGTGTCCATTAGGTTTTTTTTATCAGATCATGATCACCTGATGATATACATTTCAGACTTCATTGAATGTTTATAATTGACCTCAGTATAGTTCTTTAATAGATACTTAGTGACCTTCTATCATTAACATGCATCTAGGGAAATATAGCAGCTAACAACAAAAGGTAGGTCAATTAGGGCCTACATTTCAAATGAAAGAACCTTTATACCCCACATTGTCATTGGGCAAACAATCTCACCAGATTCCTAAATTCAGTCTCATAACTCCTACAAAAGTCAGCTGATGAAAATTTCTTGCATACCGGTATGCACATCTACATATGTCCTCAATAACTGCAAAGTTTCATGAAATTTTGTTGTGAGGTTCCAGAGTTGTTGTGCGGATAAACTGATGCAGTAGTATATCCTGGCCAAAGTTCTATGTCTAAAGGGGCATAATTTTTAGAAAAAAAATTGAATCATAATTTACTGTCATATGCACATCTACATAGTATGTCTTTATTTAATGTTTATTAAATCAAACAAAACAAATTTTATAGCCTTAGGACAAAAATTTGGACCAATTAGAAAATGGGCCCAACAACCAAATACACAGTTAGATTCAGTATATGAATTTTTTTTTAATACTAATAGCATGAAAAATTGTAATACTTATAGCAAAAAGTCCCAACATAAAGAATCAAAGCTTTCTCAAAATCAAAATCCCAAAATATTGTTCTCTTCTATATTCTGTAAAATATCATGAATCAATCGAATGCTATCCCTTATATAATGCTTAATGGTCCAATATCTATTTCATAGAGATCTAAAGACCAATACGTAAGTAATTGTCCATTAACCAGGAAACCCTTGTTTCCCCCCCTTTTTTGCCCCTTATTCCTAAACGGTTTGAGCCATAACCCCCCAAAGCCAATCCTAACCATCCCTTTGTGGTATGGAAACTTGTGGTATAATTTCAGAGAGATCCATAACTGTTCCACAAGTTATTGTCTGGAAACTAGAAAAATGCTTATTTGGGCCCCTTTTTCCTAAACTGTTGGGACCATAACCCCCAAAATCAATCCCAACCTTCCTTTTGTGGTTTTAAACCTTGTGTTTAAATTTCATAGATTTCTATTTACTTACACTAAAGTTATTGTGCGGAAACCAAATGTCTTCGGACGATGCCGACGAAGTGATACCAATATACGACCGCAAAATGTTTTGCGGTCATATAAAAATATTCATGTGCCTTTCCTAAGTTCAGAACCTTGTCATTGGTTTTTATACGACCGCAAAAAAATTTTGCGTTCGTATATTGGTATGACATTGGCGTCGTCGTCCGAAGACACATTAGTTTTCGCACTCTAACTTTAGTTTAAGTGAATGGATCTATATGAAATTTTACCATAAGGTTCAATACCACAAAAGGAAGGTTGGGATTGATTTTTTTTGCTTTAAAATTTTCCATTTTAAATTGGTTATTTCTGATTTATATATAAAAGCAAATAATAATGATATGGTTTGAATAGGTAAATTAAAAAATTTTAAGTTCTTAGACCACATTCATTCTGTGTCAGAAACCTATGCTGTGTCAAATATTAAATTATAATCCAAATTCAGTGCTGTATCAAGCTTGAATGTTGTGTCCATACTTGCCCCAACTGTTCAGGGTTTGACCTGTGTGGTCGTATCAAGCTGCGCCCAGCAGAGCATTTTAACTATGTCATATTATAGTGTAACTCTTGAACAAGACAACCAAGTATAGTGCAGGCCAAATTTGGTTCAAATTGGTGTTTTCCACAGATAGGATTTTTAAAATGGTTTGACAGACTAGAGATTTTAAAAGCCTGCTCTTACCCTTCCGGCCACCTGAGCTAAAAAAAACTTGTCCAACCAATCAAAATATGAGTCTACTGTTAACAACCAATTATTGACAATAAATATCTATAGGCTCCTGGCATTGGTCACCAAACTTATATGCATACATCTAAAATTTGCAATGTTTCAATAATCACAATTAAATTTGGTCCAAATTATCTATATCGATACCAGTAACAACTTGATGCTTGCCCGTATACATTTGTAAGTGTAATTAATTCTTTCTAAACATTATAGCCAGTAGGGGACATTGTACTTTTTGTCAAGCTTTTGTTGGAACACCCCAGATGGGTCAAAACAGATTTTGGTAAAAGTTGACAATCTTTTAGATTTCATTAAAATTTGATTCGAGGAATCTAAGAGCACAGAATTAGACAAACTTGATATTTGTCAGAAATTTCTTTTGGTGTAACAAAAATAATGCAAGGCACCCAAGGAAAAGGGGGCTAGTTTCTTGCCCAAGGATTCTTAAGTCTAGCTTTTAAAAAGCATCAAGGAGAAATTTGTGTCGCCCTAGATTTTCAGTACAGTTGAAAGATTTAGATTTTTCAATTTTGTCTCCCCAACGTTAAGTCTAGTTCTTAGATACTATTAAGTAATAGGTCAACTTTATTTGGTGTACAAATAAAGTCTGGTTACTCTTGCATGTAACATCTGACCATGACCTTATTGGTCAATATGTTTTCCTTGTTGGTCTGTTTCTTGGATACTTTAAGCAATAGGTCAACTACCAGGTAACCGGTATATTTGGTGTATGGAATGATTATAAGGCATACATTTCTGCCTGGCAGGTTTAATCTGACCTTGACCACATAGTCATGGATCATTGATATCAGATCATGTTAAGTTTATGTGATACTTGTAGTAAAACCTTCATCTTTCAGACTTCCAACATAAAATCAAGCATGGTCAGTAAAGCAGACATGTGCACGAAAATTGTTAAAAAAATGTCTCAATCCAAATGCACACAATTCTGATATTCAATCAAATAAATATGTTACTTTATTCAACCGTGGTTACAATCGGTCCTAATATATGTTGGACACATTGACAAACATACTTTTTATACGACCGAAAAAAATTTTGCGGTCGTATATTGGTATGACGTTGGCGTCGTCGTTGTCGTCCGAAGACACATTGGTTTTCGCACTCTAACTTTAGTTTAAGTGAATGGATCTCTATGAAATTTTACCCTAAGGTTCAATACCACAAAAGGAAGGTTGGGATTGATTTTGGGGGTTATGGTACCAACAGTTAAGGAATTATGGGCCAAAAGTGGCCAAAAATAAGCATTTTTGTAACTTCCAGACATAACTTGTGTGTTAGTGTATGGATCTCTCTGACATTGTACCACAAGGTTTCATATCACGAAGGGAATGCTGGGATTGATTTTGGGGGTAATTGCCTCAAAATATTAGGAATTAGGGGCCAAAAAAGGGGAAAAAAACAAGCATTTTTCTAGTTTCATGACAATAACTTGTGTGAAAGTGTATGGATCTTTCTGAAATTGTACTACAAGGTTCCATATCACAAAGGGAAAGCTTGAATTGAGTTTGGGGGTAATTGCCAGAAACGTTTAGGAATAAGGGGCCAAAAATAAGCATTTTTCTAGTTTCCAGACAATAACTTGTGTTCAAGTGTATGGATCTCTCTGAAATTGTACCACAAGGTTCCATATCACACAGGGAATGCTGGGATTGATTTTGGGGGTAATTGCCTCAAAATTTTAGGAATTAGGGGCCAAAAAAGGGGCAAAAAACAAGCATTTTTCTAGTTTCATGACAATAACTTGTGTGTAAGTGTTTGGATATTTCTGAAATTGTACTACAAGGTTCCATATCACAAAGGGAAAGCTGGAATTGAGTTTGGGGGTAATTGCCCAAAACGTTAAGGAATTGGGGGCCAAAAAGGGGCCAAAAAACACATTTTTCTAGTTTCCAGACAATAACTTGTGTGAAAGTGTATGGATATTTCTGAAATTGTACTACAAGGTTCCATATCACGAAGGGAAAGCTGGAATTGAGTTTGGGGGTAACTGCCCGAAACATTTAGGAATTGGGGGCCAAAAAACACATTTTTCTAGTTTCCAGACAATAACTTGTGTTCAAGTGTATGGATCTCTCTGAAATTGTACTGCAAGGTACCATACCACAAAGGGAAAGCTGGAATTGAGTTTGGGGGTAACTGCCCGAAACGTTTAGGAATTGGGGGCCAAAAAACACATTTTTCTAGTTTCCAGACAATAACTTGTGTTCAAGTGTATGGATCTCTCTGAAATTGTACTGCAAGGTACCATACCACAAAGGGAAAGCTGGAATTGAGTTTGGGGGTAACTGCCCGAAACGTTTAGGAATTGGGGGCCAAAAAACACATTTTTCTAGTTTCCAGACAATAACTTGTGTTCAAGTGTATGGATCTCTCTGAAATTGTACTGCAAGGTACCATACCACAAAGGGAAGGCTGGGATTGAATTTGGGGGTGATGAATCATAAGGGGGTTCAAAAAATTGGGGGGGGGGGGGGGGGATTTTTTTCCTTTTTTTTTTCTTTTAAAATTTTCCATTTTAAGTTGGTTATTTCTGATTTATATTTAAAAGCAAATAATAATGATATGGTAGGAGATACACACCAAACAGGATGTGTAAATTATCATATAATAAGTATTGTGCAATAGCAAGAAATTTTCAATTGCACAATAGCAAGAAATCTTCAATTGCACAGTATTGCGCAATAGCAAGAAATCTTCAATTGCACAGTATTGCGAAATAGCAAGAAATATCCAATAGCACAATATTGCGCAATAGCAAGAAATTGTCAATTGTGCAGTATTGCGCAATAGCAAGAAATATTCAATTGCACAGTATTGTGCAAAAGAAGTTACTTCGTATAAATTGCTTATTTCTTGACCAATTTCAATGGGGTTTTATTTTTGAATTCTTGGGGTTCTTTAATATGCTGAATTTAACCGTGTATTAAGTTTTTGGATTTTAGGCCCCGTTTTTAAATTGGTCCACATTGAGGTCCAAAGGGTCCAAAATAAAACTTTGTTTAATTTCATCAAAAATTGAATTATTGGGGTTCTTTGATATGCTGAATCTAAACATGTATTTAGATTTTTGATTATGGGCCCAGTTTTCAAGTTGGTCCAAATCGGGGTCCAAAATTAAACTTTGTTTGATTTCAACAAAAATTGAATATATGGGGTTCTTTGATATGCTGAATCTAACCATGTATTTAGATTTTTGATTTTTGGGCCCGGTTATCAACTTTGTCCACATTGAGGTCAAAAGGGTCCAAAATAAAACTTTGTTTAATTTCATCAAAAATTGAATTCTTGGGGTTCTTTGATATGCTGAATCTAACCATGTATTTAGATTTTGGATATTGGACCATAATAGGTGAATGTCCAATTTAAAATTTTTAAGTTCTTAGACCACATTCATTCTGTGTCAGAAACCTATGCTGTGTCAAATATTTCATCACAATCCAAATTCAGAGCTGTATCAAGCTTGAATGTTGTGTCGATACTTGCCCCAACTGTTCAGGGTTCGACCTCTGCGGTCGTATCAAGCTGCGCCCTGCGGAGCATTTTATTTAAAAGGTGAATGGGATTCATGCAATATAATTAGCAGAACTAACAAAATCAGCTTAATATACACAATTAGTTATTAACTTTCCACACATCCACTATCATCCTTCTGTACTCAACAGACAAATAGAAATTAAAATAACTAAATCTTGATTTGAATCTTGTTTTTATTTGGTTGTTTCTGAGTGATACAAAAATGTTCATCACAAAATGAAGATAAAGCAAAAAAAAAAAGAAGCAGTAAACAGATTTAATATGCGGAATTTACAAATGTTTCATACATAATAAATAAAAAGAATTTCTAAGCATGATTCATTTACATAAGATAAGACTCTTTAGTTCATAATTTAATTTAAAGATCTTTTTAACGGAAGAAAAAAGATAAGCTTTACAATTACTGAAAGCCCCTGTACAATGGCTACATAAAAAGTTATTATAGAGGAAGTCTAAGAATTTTCTTGAAGAAATCAACCATAACAAAAAACAAGCATTCTGAGAGTATTGCTCCCCTACCAGGTAAAAATTCATTATACTGGAACAAAAAGCTAACTTGTTCTATAACTTGTCATGGTGTAAACAAAAAGAAAATATCAAGTCAATATCTTCAAGCATGACTAAAACAGTGTGGAAAACTGATTAAATGAGTGAATTTTTCAAGTCCAAGGACCATAAAACTCTGCACAAAATTATCAGACTGAAACAAAATTTCGAACTTGATCTGTATAACTTGTCATGATAAAACTATATACCAATTATCAATCAATATCTTCAAGCATGATGAAAAAAAGTGTGGAAAACACTTTAACATTAGATATGATTAATAGTTCTCTAAAATTAGATATGATGTAATACAGTGTATATCTATTTCCAAATTATAATCAATTATTACATTGGTAGCATTGAATTACATTGATTTCCCAGTCAAATAAAAACCGATAATTTCACATGTGAAATAAACGTGGTTATTTCACTCTCTGACGTCATACAACAATAGGCGTTGTCAAGACGTCGATAACGTCGGATCAAAACAAATTGTGAATGCGTAGAAAAAAGATATAGTTCCTTACATTTTCTACATTAATTTCATTAAAAGAAGCCATTTGCCAATGTAATAAAAAGAATAACTAATCAAAGAATTCAAATATCGAAAAATATTCAACTCGTGACCGAACAACACTGATAATTAACTCATGCGCTACGCGCATTCGTGAATTAATGTGTTGTTCGGTCACTCGTTGAATATTTTTCTCTATTTGAATTCTTCGATTAGTTATTCTATAAATATAATTAATAGTTCCAAATATTTTTTCTTTTACTTGTCACAAACTAATACAGATTTGTAACTTTTGTAACTTATCTATAAAATGTCAACAATTACAGGGCTGTTCCAAGTATCTGAAACTTTTTCTTTACCTTAATAAATCAAAATACTATTTTTTTTGGTTGAATAGTGGTGTCAGGGTTGATGTCAATAACCTAACATTCATACTTAAGTTTAGGAATGTTCTGTCTAATACTAAAAAAATGTACTCAGTTTGTGTTCTAGACGTGGTTTTTATAAGACTCCATTAATAATAGAATAAACATGATTATGAACAGTAAGAACATAACAGAAAACTAACAAATGTAACCCAACTGGGAAACACATCATCAACAACACATTGATAATTTATATTTTATTTGAAGTAAAAAAAAAAATAATCACTTTGCATAAGCATTTATGGGTACTTCAACATAGAAAAAAAAGGGTCATGGATCATCTAGGGAATATAAAACTGGCCCAAATCTACCAATAAGACATATAAAGTGTATAGGAACCATCCTAGCAATTTTTTGGTTACTGGTCAAATGTCCTATTATTCAAAATCTTAAAATGACCATTTTAGCTATTTCTTATTGAATATTCTATGGACATAGTATTTTCAGATAACTAATGGTCATTTGGTCCCATATTCTAAATAACTGAGGAGCACATCCTCACAAGTTTTTGTCAAACAAAAACACAACAATAACGTATCAATAATCTCATAGTCTTTTCACCATGTAAAAATAAAACACCAACATAAATTAAACATAAACAAGAAAGTGTCCATAGTACACGGATGCCCCACTCGCACTATCATTTTCTATGTTCAATGGATCGTGAAATTGGAGTCAACTCTAATTTGGCATTAAAATTAGAAAGATCATATCATAGGGAACATGTGTACTAAGCTTCAAGTTGATTGGACTTCAACTTCATCAAAAACTACCTTGACCAAAAACTTTAACCTGAAGCGGGACAGACAGACGAACGGACGCACAGACTGAAAAACATAATGCCCCTCTACTATCGTAGGTGGGGCATAAAAAACGCATGGTTTCATACATAATAAGGGCCTAGCTCTGGTTATGCACAAAATTGGCATGGTACCTTTTAGTTTTATTGATAAGAGATCATCATTTATGGTCTAAAGGGTGTGTGGTATTATACTGACAAACTTACTTCCTCCAAACAAAAATGTATAACATGGAAGTTTACAGCTGCAAATAAAGTGGTGCTAAACTCCATCAATTAAACAAACAAACAAAACAAATACAACTAGTAGCTGTGTATATTTAAATATTGTACCCTGGGAACACACATAGAACCTATAAAAATCAACAACCAGAACAACTTTTCCTTGTCTAATATAACAGGTTAACTCAGAAAAGAATTCATTAACAATAACCAGTGAAAATATTTCAATATTACAATTAGTCATGTCTAAGTTCTTTCTAGTTACATCAAGAATATGTGTTGTTCTTTACACACTAATAAATTCTAAATCATTCTCTGCATACATTGTTTATACAGTACAAGTGTCAAGTCCAGTAAAATTTACGAAATACAATTGTTAACATCAATGATAACTTTCAAATATTCAAATTAGTTCACCATGTCATTTTTACTCCCAACATCATTCTTAAATTAATATTTATATTATGTATTTATTAACCCACAAATTATACCATTAAAACATAGCAGATACTACAATACGCCAGTTACAACTATCACCCTCTTATCATTAAAATAAATCCTTCACCAATCATCAAGTCCTGGCATTGGAAACTGTATAGCAAACTTCTCAACATCTGCCTTCAGTGATGAAATTTTCTGTTTAATCTTTTCGTCTGTTTGTATCTTAGCCTTAAAATCTTTCAACAATGGTCCACAACCTTCCATAGCTTCTTTTGTTATCACTAACCCTGAAATAAAATAGTTAAATATTAATATATGATTGATTGATGTTTAATGCCACTTTCAGCACTCTTGGCTATATTGTGGCGGTCAGGTTTTATTGGTGGAGAAAGCCGGAGTGCCAGAAAGAACTGCTGACCGTAGGCAGGAAAACTGACAATCCTAGTAGATTAATATTGTAGTTTTAATGCACCCGACACGTACAGAGTTTGAACTCATAACCTCAGTGTTGACCAGTTAGTGATACTGTAGATGAACTACTTAAGATACCTAGGTTTCTATGACATTGTTATTAAATATGTACAAAATTTGCCGGAATAGGTTTCATAGATCAAACACTGTTTAAACGGTGACCTATATGAAATGTTCTATCGTGTTATTGGTGTACCGTTTACATAGTGTGAAAAGGTTGTTTGAACTTATATAAAGCTCAATACCAAATGTTTAACTGCTGTAATATGGATTTACTAGATAAAAATGATTAATTTTTAAATTCAGGTTTCTGTATTTTATGTATAAAATAGATCGCAACGAGTACAAAATGTACCCGACATTTAAAAAGCTCAGCGTCAATTATAAAAAGCTGTATGGTAATGCATGCATATAATAATGATAGGTTCTATGTGGTAAAAATACTCTTTAGGTATTAGATGATGTTAAACAATTAAATTTACCTTGATGTATAAATTCTGATACTTGTTCAAAATCTTTTTCCTTCATGTTTCTGGATGTAAGAGCAGGAGATCCTATTCTGAGACCACTTGGTTTAAGTGCACTCTTGTCACCTGGACAGGTGTTTTTGTTTAGAGCTATACTAACATCTTCCAGAACTTTCTCAGCCCGAGCACCATCTATTCCATTTGGTCTCAAGTCAACTAAGATTAAATGATTGTCAGTACCACCTAGAATACATCATAGAAATAATTATATACACGTTCAGATGTGAGCTGTATACAGTCAAGACAACTAAAATTAAATGATTGTCAGTAACACCTAGAATACATCATAGGAATAATTATATACACGTTCAGACAAGAGCTGTATACAGTCAAGACAATAGTGATGGGAATAAACATATGCACATGTCTGGATTTTTCTTATAAAAGAGGCGCACAATGAATCCATATTTTTTCCAACCTGTAATATTTAACCTAACAATAATAAGAAATTTTTGTAAAGTTCTCCAAAAAAGATGTGACCTTTTAAGCTTGCAGTTTAAATCTGCAACAATACCTTATAAAAATATCTGCTGTACAAATTTGCTTCTTTTTATAGAACTAGATTAATTCATAAATATATCAGCTTTGTTTATTGCAAAGATATGCTGTGTATAAATTTCAAAATGATCATCAGTCAACTATAGCTGAAAGTTATTATAAAAAAAACATATGGTCTACAGATAGAAAATAAATCATCCATAGATTGTAATCTGATTGTTAAAGTTAGTGATTGTATCTAAATTCTCACCTGTAACCACTTTATATCCCTTTGCTTGTAATACTTTACTCATTACACGGGCATTAGCTATTACTTGTTCCTGATAAACTTTGAATTCTGGTCTGCATGCCTGGTTCAAGGCTACTGCAACAGCTAAAACACAAATATTACAAAACGTTATAATGCATCCTAAATGAAAAAAAAAATAATAAAAAATATCAAACACACTACTCTGCAAATGACTGTACATGTACAGAAAAAATAATAAATTGCTTCGCCGAGCACAGCTGGATACGACCGCAGAGGTCCAACCCTGAACAGTTGGGGCAAAAATGGACGCAATATTCGCGCTTGATACAGGTCTGAATTTGGATTGTAATTTAATATTTGACACATAAAAGGTTTCTGACACAGAATAACTGTAGTCAAAGAACTTAAAATTGGTTATATGATTTGAATTTATATTCAATTTTTTGCTTTTCAGCAATACACTTTGCTGTTGCGAATTGACCCCCCTCCCCCCACAAAAAAAAAAAAAAAAAAAAAATTACCCCCCCTTTTTTTGCTTTTGTGCAATACACTATGCTGTTGCGTATTAACACCCCCCCACACACACATACTTTTTTTTGCAAAAAAAATAATATTTGAAGAATTTTCTTTTTAATTTCTGAAATCTGAAATGAGAAAAAATTGACCCCCCCCCCCCCTTTTTCCCCCCCAAAAAATTCTTTCCTCAAGATATGGTCATAATCTCAATTCAAATTTCCAATGGAGTTTGCAACCATAATTACCCATTTAAATTTACCATAGTGCTAACTTGATCTATTTTATAATAGAATTTAAAATATGGTGTCAAATCTTTCATATGGATTTTTTTGTAAAAAAAAAAAGATGCAACATTTGCAGATATTTTAACTGGTCTTCCTTTATAAATATACATTTCTTTAAACATAATTTAAAAGCAGTGTAAGGGAGGTAATCAAAGTCCTGGTTAATGGACAAATACTTTAGTACAAAACATAATTTAAAGCAGTGTAAGGGCTCCCTTACACTGCTTTTAAATTATGTATAAAGTAATGGTTAATGAACAATTAAGACAATTTAAAAGCAGTGTAAGGGAGGTTATCCAAATACATCATTTGAATTACCTCCCTTACACTGCTTAAAATTATGTTTTGTACTAAAGTATTTGTCCATTAACCAGGACACCCTTGTTTTTGCCCCTAATTCCTAAACGGTTTGAGCCATAACCCCCCAAAGCAAATCCTAACCATCCCTTTGTGGTATGGAAACTTGTGGTATAATTTCAGAGAGATCCATACACCGTTCCACAAGTTATTGTCTTGAAACTAGAAAAATGCTTATTTTGGGCCCCTTTTTCCTTAACTGTTGGTACCATAACCCCCAAAATCAATCCCAACCTTCCTTTTGTGGTATTGAACCTTATGGTAAAATTTCATAGAGATCCATTCAGTTAAACTAAAGTAATTGTGCGAAAACCAATGTGTCTTCGGACAACGACAACGCCAATGTCATACCAAAATAAGACCTTTTTTGCGGTCGTATAAAAATATGTGTTTCTACCTATGGCTTTTATTTCTTATGTTTGAAAATCAAATTGACATTTTTTTTATTGAGATACTCAATACTGTTGTGTGTAAATTGAAATGCCATTCATGTGCAACTTCCAAACTCTGCCACCAAACTAAGATTTTTTTGTTGACTTCATTTTTGTTAAGCCATTGTAAAAGTGATAGCATTAACACTTTCTTGATAAAGCTTCATTATTTCAAAATACTGAAACCGGAATTACACCACGTTTGTTTGCTTTAAACAATTCGTTTTCAGATTTATAATATCATTACTCTTCAAAAGGCTTAAAATAGACCACCTGTTTTAGTAATCACTATAAAACATCTGTTGAACAAGAAATTTAAAATTTAAACATGAGTGCAATCACTGAAATGTCTCACTGGCTTTAATGACCACGATTAAATTTATGTTGTAGATAATGGTTTTACTACAGGTATCACATAAAACATCCTTATCAACGATCAATGACAATGAGATCAAGGTTAGATCAAACCCTGCTTCAATGATGCTACAAATGTTTATGACAAATGTAGGTAACCCCTTACTCATTAATAAATGAGAATATCCCACGATGAATTTAGATGCCAAAAAAGCTTATTTTTTTACTGCACATTGAGACACAAGGGGGAAGGGGATTGAGTGCAATTTTATTTAGTTTTTCAATGTTGTATGTATAATGAAACTACTCACCTGCAATTTGATGATTATGTGGTCCACCTTGTAAGCCTGGAAAAACAGCTTCATTTATCTTTTTCTCTAAATCATACATTTCTTCTTTACCATCTTTGGTTACTTTTCGTACACCTAAAGAGAATGACATTTAACATCAAATGTAATCAATGCAAAACACAAATAATTCTATTTTGAGACATTTGACAATTATCTGAAATGTATGTCATTAATCATGCATAACACAGACTCAAACTTAGTACAAGAAATGTAAATTATCGCTATTTTACATTTTTTCCTTTGATCTTACTGACTCATAATTTCCTTTCTCAGCACAGTAGAGTGATATGAAAAATTATCGCTAGAAACTAAGGGTGCACGTGCTGTTGTCAATGAAATTAACAACGTCATAGGTAAAATAGCGATTAACAGATTATCATTGGTCATCTCAACTCGATTGCTTTTCTCACTTTCGCCATACTGGCTCAAGCAAGAAAATCAATCTCGTTGAGATGACAGATGATAATCTATAATTATGTTCAAAATGAATATAATAATAAAACCAGACCCACTTGTTTCAGGGGACTATTTTTAAATGAATTGCTCCTAAATAGGTATTTTAATCCTTTTTTTAAAAATGATAGTAACAGACATGTTTGATGGTTGAAAGTTAATTTAATAGAAGGTCATAAACATGATAAAGGTAACAATTACCGGGCCTATAATATTTTTTGGCCAAATGTTTAATGTTATTTTCATACCTTTTCTGTAGAAGATCATTCCTGATCTGGGTCCTCTGAGTGATTTATGGGTTGTTGTAGTTACAACGTCACAATGTTCAAATGGGTTCGCTACTAATCCTGCTGCTACCAATCCACTAACATGAGCCATGTCTGCCAACACATAAGCACCATTCTCATCAGCAACTTTTCTGAACCTGGCATAATCAAGATTTCTGGAATAACAACTAATACCTGAAAGCAAATGTAATACAAGAAATTATTTTAATGCATCTACATATACAATATTCAATTTTTCTTTTTCTTCTTCAGAGAACTAAAAACAGATAGAATTAAGCAACTAAATGAGTAATACATTCTCCCCCTTTTATTGGGACAGTTAGATTTAGACAATATATATGCACATTATAGAACATATCTTTTTCAGCTTTCAGCAAAAATGGTAATATTGTGTGAAGTCACAAAAAATTAATGAAAATAATTTTGACCTAATTCTTAGCTAGAAACAGGATTTAATCTAATTGATTGTACAATACATTTTAAGGAATAAGGAAAAGTATAATAAAAGTCAAAATGTAGAATATAAATCTATTCAGCATGCTGTTTGCAGATTTTTAAAATGTATTTCATTATTTGAAACATTCAACTTGAAAATGAGTTTGGATAAATTCTACCCTTACTTTACCTGCTACGATCATTTTTGGTAGAAACAGTTTTGCATTTCTGTGAAGTTCTTCATAATCAATTAGCCCTGTTTCTGGATTTACTTTATATGGCATTGATTCAAAGTACACTGATGTTGCAGAGATCTTCTTAGTTGGTGTCATAAAACCATGACTTAAATGTCCTCCATCTGGTAAATCAAGACCCATAATTCTACCATGTGGTCCTACTAGTGCTGTATATACTGCAAAGTTTGCTGGACTTCCAGACAATGGTTGAACATTTACTCCCCACTTGGCAGGATCAAGCTTATAAGCTTCTAAGGCTCTCTTCTGGCATAGTCTTTCCATATCATCAATAAATTCATTTCCACCATAGTATCTGTGGGTTTATATATTACACCTTATACATTTAATCACAGGTCATCAAATAAAGACAGATCAAGAAAAGTTTGCTTTAGTCTAGATCTCTCATAACAAATTTTAATCATGAAACACAAGTTCAAAATAATACATAGGTTAATTTTTTCTTCTTCTTAACCTTTAATATATAGTCAATTAAGCTATTATGGAAAATACATTCTGATGTTAAAATTGCATAATATAGAACATAAAACATATAACACTTTCAAGTCAAATGAGCAATATTTGGCCATTGATCTTTATACTCTACTTTTAAAACCTGTTGCATAGATAACATACAAAGTCAAACTTTTTTTACACACCTTTGACCAGGTTGCCCCTCTGAATATTTATTAGTCAAACAGGAACCCAGTGCTTGTATTACTGCCTTGCTAGTGAAATTTTCTGATGCGATCAGTTCTAGGCCTTTCATTTGCCTATTTTTTTCATTTCTAATAATTGCAGTTATTTCTGGATCATCTTCTTTGATGTCCTTCTGAAGGTAATAACTATCTCCTGATCCATTCATCATTTTCCTTCTTTATTTCTGTAAAATAAAATAAATACATACCGGTACATGTATGCATACAAAAGTTTTATTCAACTATTGGTTTATATTAGACATCTTTTTGTATTTGATCCTTGTTACGATTTGTATTCTTTAACATTATTGTTTAGGATTCATTATGGAAAAACCACTAAGTTCTTTGAAAACATGATTTTGTGATTACTTCAGAGCGTGCACTTAATAGCAGATCAGAGTGAAAATCAGCGCAAGTTTCAGAGAAGACCAGTAGTTTTTCTGGATGTTAAAGATAATAGTCTTTCATAAAAATACTGTTGGTCCAACTGATTTTTTGAAGATCCGATAAATTATTGCATTATGACCAAATAACGGACAGTCCTCCAAAGAATTTTGGAAAAACTGCTGCAGGTCAGGAAATAAAATTTGCTCTCTAAAGACTGTTTCCAGAAATTTTTTAAATTCTTACACATGTTAAAGTTGTGAGTTTCTCCCTTATTTTTTAAATGACTATGTAGGCACATCTATATGTCACTTGTATATGTGAAGCCCACATCAAAATATGCAAGTTAAAAATTTCATTGTCCTTGCAGGAATTCTGAAAGTTAAGAAATATAGTGTCTAATTACAATTTGTACATCTTTTCATGATATTATGATAATGATGTGCAATAATTCATGTTGTGCTAAGTTAGGTACAAGCATTTGGGAAAACATTTTGCAATGAAATTTCTCCATTTCTCTTCCATTTTTTAACAGCTTATATAACTTCTTGCTTGTTTAACATTACATAACCTCAAAATTTCTTACATTACATAACTTAAACAATTCCATTACACTTCTAAACCTCATAAATGTATCACAAGTTTGTTTCTCAAGGAACTAATTAATAAGAAATAAGTTAATAAATACATTGAATTTATCACAACAGCAAAATAAAAGCATACACTGACAAACATCATATTTACTCTCAACAGTTGTCAAATTTGTGGATCCCTTAATCTTCATGTATCCTCAAGTAAATGTACAAATCAGGATGCACTTAATGTTTCACTTACATAAATTCTTTAAAGACGTCTGAACTACAGATTGTATACTATCTCACTACTCATAAGCCCAGATCAGATGTTAAAAATTGAATTAAATAAATATTTATTTAATATGTAATATATCACATGTAAACTCTTAACAACCCATTTCTTGCACTATAGTTATAGTAAGAGCTAAAATAAAAACAATTATATTATACTAGATTGTCATTCTTCTGAATCATTGTAATCAGTAAGATATATACTTTTTCTTTCATAAGATCATCTTTGTTTTTATAAATACTTATTATAAATAAGTTTAATAATACCTAACAAGTTTCCCGCCACCTTTTGTCTCCTAACTATGGTAGTAGTAAACAGGAAGCACACGTGAAAAGGCCAGTTTATATAAAACGCGATAACCAATGAAAATCAACGTTTTATCATCCAATCAGAATAGGTAAAAGAAACAGAAATATAATTACCCGCTCGTGTACATGCAAAACGTACCATCTTTTGAAGAAAGTTAGAACAATTTTTTAACTATGTATATTTTTACTTGAATTTGCAATCGTTAACTTATTTTTTAGGATTCCATATTTGAAAACAGGGGCAAAAATTAATCTACAAAAAGAAAAAAAAAGTGTAATTGTTTTTTAAGTTCTTTAACTTGAACATGTTTTTTTTTCTAATTTGGTGATGTCTTAGGGAGATACCATATGATTTTTATGGTGGGGCTAGGATGAAATTTGAAAAAACAGGATAAACTAATGAAAAAAAGGCAGGACCGATAAAAAGGCAGGACAGAGATTACAACTAAAAAAAAAATGCAGGACAAAATTTTTCATCCTAGCCCCCCCCTAAAAATCAAATGGTAGCTCCCTTAATCAGGGTTCGATAAAAGTCAATTACCAATCCGATATTTTGTGATTCTTCATCGCTTGATATAACTTATTAGCATACTTCACAGGAGTGACACGACGGGTTTTGTATGTGGAGCAGGATCTGATTACCCTCCGGAGCACCTGGGATCCCTCGGATTTTGGTGGGGTTCGTGTTGTTCAGTTTTTTGGTTTTCTATGTTATGTTTTGTGTACTGTTTTTGCCATGGCATTTGTACTGAGAAAAGAAATGATATGGGGTATCAATCCATGACACAAAATCCCTATGTGCACAGCAAAAAACATAAAAAGCAAAGGAACAGCGCTATTATTGCTGTTCCTCATCTCATTGTTACCTTGTTTTCGATTATTTAATTTGAATATCCCTTTGGTATTTTTCGCCTCTCTTTTACATTTAGCAATGAATCCGGTATATCCCAAATGTATTTATGCTATTACTCACAATAACGGATAAAGTTATGTGTTTGATAAAATAACCGTAGTTTTAAATTTTAAATTGTCATTACTGACATATACTCACACAACACTTACTTAATAGGAAATCCTCATATATAGGCCCGATTTTTGTACATTTTGAATTTCAACCGAAGATGAAGAACTGGATCTTCCTTCATTTTAGTGGATGCCCATGTTACATAATTGCTTGAATAGACAAATACTCCACGAAACCTCTTTCCGAATCATTGCCATCAATTTAATCTGCAATCAAAATCGGACTGAAGTCCTTCAAGAGTTACTATGGAACTATTCAATGATTGTTTTTTTTTATCTATTTACAACATATTAGCTATTTTTGGAGGATATCTTTATCAACAGACGATCGGCATTCATGTGGGAACCAATTATCATGCCCTCTCTTCTTACTGACTTGTTACTAGGAAGACTTCACACCAGTGTTTGATAAGGATCGTGTTGCTGTATCTATAGTTTTTCTATGTAGTGTTTTGTTGACTTTCGTCGTTTCTCCTTTCGGTAATGATATATCTGTTTTCTGATTACCTACTGGTATCTTGTTCCAACTTTCTTATTTAACCTTTTAAATAAGGTTACGGACAACAGGCATATGCCATGGGGGGGGGGGGGGGGGGGGGGGGGAAACCTTATGTGTAAACTAGATACTTGTATGGACAATTTAGCTCGTGAAATTTCTGAAAAATCAAACATTAGTACAGTGAGTACATTTAAGTTCTGCCGCATTGGACTTTTCGATGGTATTCATTGGGTAATTTGTACATTATTTTCTATTGGCTCTGTCTTGCTATTTCACTTACGGTTTTCATTGTGAGGTTTATATTATTTGGAACTTTCTTTGAAGTTAGATGTTATTTGTACCTGACTATTATTCTGGACCTTTTTGGACTTTTTTGACAGTAAGTTTTATACATTTTGTAAAGTAATGCTCTTTCCGATAATATATTTTGAACTATGTTTTGGTTAGAATAATTCTCACATTTTTGTAACTGAGTGTTTTAGAGTACATCTCATAATTTACAAGCTTAGAATTATTACGATTTCATCTATTGTAAATATAGCTATTCTTGTGTATCTTTTGAAATCGTTGAATTTAATTTATTGTCTTGTCAAGATGACATATCACTTAATTTATATATTTTTAATTGGCCTGAAATTGAATAGACTTTGTCACAGTATTTTGAATGTCCATTTTGAACATGGGTATTTATAATCGTATATTATTTTCAGAACATACCATATAGTGTCCTGGAATAATTGTATTAGCGTTTATGGCAGTGGATATTGATAACTCAATCCCACATATTGGTAAGGATTAATTCCTTATTCTTTATAGATTGTTCATTTTGTAATAGTTGCTTTCACAGCCAAATTGGCAATGAAATTGTATTTTATTCTATTTCTCTTTCGGCACATTTTAATAATTCTACATTGAAACTGTAAAGCGTATTGACGCTTTCTAAAATGAAGCACGGTTGTGTAGATTGCAATGCAATCCGAAACTTTGATATGTATTTTAAATTAGCTATTTGTAATTGTGACACAAGTTAATCATGATTGTGTTTAATATTACTTCTGTTTAGTAATGCTATGTAACATTTGTAAAATTGCTTATGATATTTGCTATTGTTTTGCAGAGTTACATTATCCTGGTATATAATAAAGTATTTGAACCAGTTGGAGTCTATAATTAAAAGCCCTTATATGACCCTATCACATTACTGCGTCTGCTGTTAATACAATTCCACCCGTTGTATGTTTATATTCCACACTAAGATTTCTTTTAGTCGCTTCAAGCTTTTTGTATAATGCTTTTATGATATTCAGTGTATAGTTTTTCACATGGGTCTTTTCATTGATCTCGGTTCTAGATCTCGCACGGGATTTATTTGTTGGTACTAGGGAGGACATGGTTATAAATGTTAGGTTCACTTCTGTCTGTTGATAATGTTCAGATAGATTTAGTGTTTGAACAGCGTGGCTTGGTCATCCCATGCCTTCTGATTCACACCAATTTTTTTCTGGTTGTTTAGTGCCAACAGTCTGCACGGATTTGAGTTAATAGTTCTGCTAGCCAAGCTTTGGCCAAGGTTGGTTTAGGGTGTATATCGTCTAAGCAGAGCTGGTAGTTGATATACTGTTTGCGTGGTTTGTTCTTTCCGCTTTTTACTTGTTTGCTTGCTTTAAGATGCTGGCTGAGCAAGGGAGATCGTTCATGAAGAGAAGAGTTTAATTCCTGTATTTGTGAATTTAAATTGACAATTTGTTGGTGAAGCTCTTGGTCCTGGTTGATTCGGTCTTCGGATGTTGACTTCTTAATTGTTACGATTGTTCCATTTAGTTATAGAATAGTGAGGAATTTCGATAAAAGTTATTTTAGAATTAGGAAATGCCTGAAGCAGTAGTTTCAATTTCTTTAACTTTTCAAATACATTTTTTGAAGTATCTGGGTGTTGACTGGCTAAGGATATTGTGCGGTCTTTATTCTTGGTTGTAAGGTCACAGGTTCCAAGCCATATATAGAGATGAATGCTTCCTAATTCGTTTATTTTGCTTTTGATGTTTTTCTCCAGCCAGTATAGGGAATCCTCTTTTGTTCCACCAGATAATTTGACAGTCCTCTAGATGATGGACTTGGTCTTTTAGGTGTACCTCTTTGCTGTCGGATAGTATGACAGGTCTCAAGTACTGTAAATTCAGAAATTATTGCGAGATTTTTATTATTGCGAAAAATGCGACAGAGTTGTAAACGCAATAATTTAAACTCGCATTTTGAAATATTTTATATGAATTAAACATGATTTTTCTCAAAATCGTAAAAATTAAAATCGCAATTAAGTCTAAAATGACAAAATCGCAATAATAAATGCACGCAATAATTTCTGAATTTACAGGATCTTGCATGGGGTTTGCAAGTAATCTCGGATTTTCTTTTCATACATGTACACAATAGTTGTTAATTACGTTGGGGCTGGGGTTGGGGGATGACGATAAATATGTTCTTTATAAATTTTAAAGATTTACTATATGTTGCCGGTTGAATTAATATTGTTCCGGTAAAAAAAAATTTTACTTGGATTTGCCTTTTTCCAAGATGGCGGCGGACCGCCTCGGTGGTCAATCTGTTGACAATAGCTGAATACACTAATTAGAGTTTTGTGTGGGGGTAATTTTTGCAAATACAACAAAGACAGTGTTCTAGTGCTTTTAACCACTACTTATTGGACGATAAAGTCCCCTTTCACCACTAAAAACTTTGACTATTTTACAGAGCTCCAAAACCAACTTCCACCATTGAATACGAAACTGCAGGAAGCCAATGCTAATTACAAACTGTAATCCAAAATATTTCACTCAGAACGAAATGAGGAAAGAATATTAATTGGTACCTTTTTTCTGCCTTGTTGAATCTGAGATGGCGTAGATGACAATTTTATTCACCACGAATTCTAATGGAATAAATGTTATGATCTTTTCTGCCATGTGTGTCATCGGATAAACACATCAACATTCCTTTGAAGTTAGAAGTTTGAAATAATTTGGCATACTTGTAACAGTTTTAAGAATGAAAATTTATTTAAACAAAGGGCCAAGCATTAAAAGAGACTGTGTCTAGTTAATATGTTGCTTAATCAGAGACATACGAAACGTATTTCAGTGTCGGTGTCTGGTCCTCAATCAAAGGGAAATTATGGCTTTATATAGAAAATACAGTGTTGTTCATTTTGCATTAAAATGAGTTGCCTCTTTTTTTGTATTCAGGGGCGTAGCTACCCAGAGGCATGACAGCACGTGCATCCACGTCGTTTTCACAAAAAAAAAGCAGAGTGAGAGGGAGAGGGGACAAAGTTAACTTATAGGAATTAGTCTTTCTATGTACGCATTTTAAAAACTACACAAAGAATACGAGCAACGAGGAATACACATGCAGCAAAATTCTTAATCCTGTAGGACATATATGTGTACGATAAATACATACAACTGGTGTAAACGTTGCGGAACTTTTTATATTGCGGACATTGTTTAGAAAAAAAAAACAGCTACA